GAATAACATTTATGACGTCTCTTTCAACAGGACCTCTTATTTGGCGACCTGCACGCCGCAAAAACATTCAAACGCTCAGCCGCTCTCGCTATCGGGTCCTACCGCGTACATTCTAGGCGGTCCCATGTGCGGGCCGGGTGCCCCTCTTTTTCGTTTTTCTTCTTCGTTTTCCTTTTTTATTTACTTTTTATTTTTATTTTTTAATTCAAGAACTGTTCATGAATCTCTAATATTTTTTTATGATTTAAAAACTGTTCATGAATTTGAAAAAAAGTTACGAAAACATGTTAGGTATTTCATAAAATGTTCATGATTTGGAAAATATGTTTGTGATTTCAAAAAAAAATGTGAATTTAAAAAATTATTCAGAATTCAAAAAGATTCATGAATACAAAAATAATAGTTTTAGAATACAAAAAATGTGCACAAAATGCAAAAAATGTCCGCAGTGCCAAATTTCTTCACACATTTGAAAAATGTTCATGAATTCAAAAGGGTTATTGGGTATCTGAGAAAGCACCACACTTGCAAGCCCCAATAAATCTACGAAAAGGCTAAAAGTCTAACATCAATTTTTTAGAGATCCACAACTAACACTGTGATGGCCATTGGATTTTTCACATAGATCTTAATGCAGTGAACAGACACAAGTCAGCTTCTACTAGCGTTTGCTGAAAATGCACCCCCGTGCAAGCGCATACACCTTTTCTACCCCCAACGGGCTCGAGAATTTATCACTTTTCATGAATAGTTTTGACTTGGTTTTCACTGTATTTTCGCCATTTCTTGGCTATTTCTAACGCTAATTTTTATCGTTATCTTTATATTTATTATTATCTTTATCTTTATTATTATTATTATTATTATTATTATTATTATTATTATTATTATTATTATTATTATTATTATTATTATTATTATTATTATTATTGTTACTACTACTACTACTACTACTACTACCACCACCACTACTACTACTACTACTACTACTACTACTACTACTACTACTACTACTACTACTACAAAAGAATGTAAGGTTCCCGGCTCACCTTTCTTCCCACCACCACAATCACCTTAGTTTACTTATCTTTCGAACCAATTTCACTTTAATTTACTTACCAAACTTCTCATCAAAACATAATGTAAACCACGGACAAGATTTGATAAACATTTATTTACACAATCACATTATTATGGCAAGTGAATCACAAGCGAATGTACTAAAATATTTATACCCCGTTGCAACATACAAGCACTGTCATATTATATTAAATAAAAAAATAGCGTTCATTTTCCTGCCAGCGGAGTGCTTCGTCTAACATTCCATATTTTTCCTGATGAGCGTTCCTTAAAAACCGCCTTATTGTCTCATCTTTTATGGACTTACCAAATAAATTATATTTTCTTTGGCAAGTCAATAAGTGATTATAAAATAAAATATGACAGAGTAATACAGGGTTATAAGATAGGGTAATGTACTAAAATATTTATACCCCGTAGCAACACACGGACAAGTACCTAGTCCTTTGAGAAAGAAGGAATCTTGTTTCTCCATTGTTTGGTAGGAAAATATATTTATCGAAGAAAACCAAGTAATAATACACAAAATCAAGCCATTTGAAGAAACTTCCGTATTGGAAGATTTTGCACGAGCGTCTATAGAACGCAAGACATAGTGACAACACGATCAAACAGTTTTACGCAAGTATTACAGCTTTGGATCGTGTGCTGAACCACTTAGATATAATATAACATAGCTAAATCTCATTTAAATCAAAATATATTAGCAAATCCGAAAAAGTTATGAATTAAAAAAATGTTCATGAATTAAAAACGAATAACAAAAAAGGGGAAAGGAAAAATGTAAAAAATAATAAAAAAAACAATGAGTTTTTTTAGACAATCTAGCGAAGCTTTATTAAATCGTCACAATGTTTACGGGTACGAACATAAGATCACCAGGCTCTCCTAACCAAACATAATGGCCCACCCCTAACTATAAAGCATGCTTTGGTAAATTGTGAGCTACGAAATTTGAGCTCCTAAACTCATGGACGAAATTACCTAAAAGGAAAGAACTACTAGAAGCTATGATTTCATGTATGATAGCACCGCAGCTAGCTAAAATGGTATGCTTGATGTCATCCACTACCACCTTGCAGTCAGATGCTATGTGGAACCTTTGTTGGTTCAAGTCTTCAGCGAGGGCTAGTGCTTCCCGAACAGCCAGTGGCTCCAAAGTTGTTGGATCACTTATACCTCTGAAGATAATCGCCGAGGCTCCCAGAAAAGTGCCACCATGGTATCGACGTATTGCATCCATAGCTCATCTCCTTTGAACGCTCACGATTGAAGCATTTACATTGATTTTAACAAAGGAGGCCGGCGGCTGTAGTACGTGCCACCGAGGCACCGACAGACCTATTACAATGCTCCTCAATTTGCCCACCTCTTTAAGATCATTTAGGTATGAGGTAATAAAGTGATGTGTTCACATAGGGCCACTCAATATGTCATCATAGATCGCCTTTCCCTCGTTCTCCAAACTGGCTAAAGAGTAACAATCATTTTCACAAAATCGGCCTGTCACAGCTCATCATGCAAAGAAAACAACCAATTCTTTGCAGTGGTATCTCTATTCAAACTCATTTGTTTTGCCATCTATTCATCAGATAATGCCCATATGCATCTGGACATGGTGCAATCCAAAAGAGTGTCTCTAAGAATCGTATGCTTCGCAGAGAACACACATTGGTGAATGTGACATGTGGCGATGATGTAAAACGTCAGCAGTAGGTACCGAGTGCTGGACGAGGGTGCTAGACAAATATCTTTTGCTTCGAAGGAACTTTAATGCCACAGTGAGGTCCAGGCTTGGCTCTCAGTAGACACGTCCGAAGCACCAACGTTCTCCTTCAACCAGTTTTCTCTCCGGAATTCATTACCATGTGATATGTCGACTTCACAGTAAAAACCCCCGGCACCTAACACTCCAAGACCAAAAATCGTCGATGTTCTGCATGCATAACGGGATCGCCAAGATGGCGTCCGCATCAAATGGCAGAAGTACCGATCTAATAACCCTCTCCCTCCAGGTGGCCGTGGTAGTGTCTATAAGTTCAAAAACCATCCTTGGCGGGTTTGGGATCAATGATGTTATGGGTCTCATAGGGCCAGCTCTCGGAGTCCAATTAGTTTCCCAAATGTTAGTTGAAGCACCGTTACCAATCCTCTTGATAATGCCTTGCTTCAAGGTATCCCCACCATCAGTTTTGCCCATTGCATGATTTTTCTTGGCTCAACTGCAACCGGGCGCACGGCCATTTGATGCTGATGGACGTTTACTTTGCCCCCGCTGCCCTCTTCACTAACAATTTTCGCGGGCGCTTTCGGATGCGCAAAAATGTCTTTGATTGTCTCTACCATGGGGTCCGATCCTTTGGTGACTACTTCATCTTGAAGAAGGACGCCGTGGGAAGGATTGGGTTCTATGGTTACAAGAAGTGCACGACCGCTGATTCGTGGGACGGGTACCTACGGATGTCTGAGAGCACATGTGGAAATGCCATAGTCAGATTTGCAATTGTCGTGGTCGAGGTGGTTGGACCTCAGTACCTGAGAGAGTCAACTGTGGCACAATATCGAAAGCAAGATGGTGGCCAGGTTTGCTCTGATCTCTTAACTGCATGCATTGAAAATGAAAAAATGTCCGAAAGCTTTAGAAGGGCAATATCAACGTCATGTTAAGAAGCCCACCATCATTCTTGAAGTAGTTGCATCACATGATCTTTGGATTTGGCATGCTTTCTTTGGCATGCATTGGTCTCACAATGACATCAATGTCTTGCAACGATCACCATTGTTTGCTAGGCTGATTGAAGAAAAATCTCCTCCTTGCCATTATACTGTCAATGGGCCTGATTACAACATGAGCTACTATCTGGTTGATGGTATCTATCCTTCATGAGCTACCTTTGTCTATACCATCTGTAACCTAGCTAGTTAGAAAAAGTCTTACTTTGCCCAAAGACAAGAAGCGGCTAGAAAAGATGTTGTGAGGGCATTTGGAGTTCTGCACACATGTTTTGCGGTTGTTCGTGGATCTGCTAAACAATGGGATCCAGAGACTTTGTGGGAGATGATGAGTTGTTGTGTGGTCATGCACAACATGATTGTGGAGGATGCTACCTCATCTCTTGAATATGAGAGCATGGGTGATCCTATTAAATTTCTTGACCAAAATCCGGTCACATTTGAAAAGTTTATTCAAATGCATCGACAAATTCAGCATCGAGCAACTGAAGAAAGAGCTGATTGAGTATAAGTGGGCGTTTAAGGGGAGCAACAATGTTAGAGTGTAATATTTGTACTCTTTTAAATTAGAACTACTGCTGCATTTGAACATTTAAACTATTCTAAACTATATATATGGTTATTCGAACGTGCGGACTTAATTTTTTTTTAAGTCGGATGTATGCCATAGCGTTGGATGAACGACTCCCATATCCATGTCTGCGGACTAGTCCCCTTATTCGTGGATGGATACGGTAGAAATTTGCGGATCAGAATTGAAGATGCTTAAGGCCGGTACAACCAATAACCACAACGTACGCAGGCCGCCGGAAAACTAACGCAGACAGCCGCACTCGACAAAGAGACACCACCGAGCCCACAGTTTGCAAGAATTTTACAGCAATTAATTTGTGGTTGAGAACTAACCCAACGTACACAGGCCGCCGGAGTAGCACAAATCATAGCACAAATAAGAATTAGGAATCCTTATTAGGAATCATTCATTCTCATCTGAAATGAGAATTAGGAAATCCTTATCAGTAAATGCCTTAAATCATAGCACAAATCCCAGAGAATTGAATTCCAAAAACAAATCCCGTTCGATGAATGCGTTGATCACAATCTCCTATACATGCATGCCGATGAAGCCAAACGCTTCTTCTCCCCAGAAACCAAATACTAGCGCCAAGCACCTACCCAGCCCAGCCATGCCCCCTCCGGCAATGGCGCTCCGGCAACTCATCGCGTGCGTCCTGTGCATGTTCCTCCTCCTGGCCGTCGCCGCCGCTGCCGGCCCAAGCCCCCTGCAGCCTCAGGACCTTGTCGGCCGCGTCCACACGGGCTGCGCCAACACGCTGAATGTGGTGCCGTGGGACTGCGCGGACCAGTTCATCCGGGCCATCCTCAGCCGCCGCACGGCGGATACAATCCCCGTCACCTACGACTGCTGCGCCAAGCTCGCCTGCGTTCGCGAGGGGCCGTGCGTAGACCTGCTCCGCAGGGTCTGCTTGCCCCCTCATAGGGGCTACTGCCAGTAGACAGCCGTCGAACCTGTATCGCCACTCGGCGGGCATCACGACCAGGAACAAGATCGGTGCATGTACTCATGCATGGCCGGCCATCTTTTACTTGTGCACGCAGCGACTGAAAAATGAATAAAATCGCTCCTTTTCTAGAAGAAGAATGTATCTGTCTATATACGGCATACATATTTGTCATCTTTTGGTCGTGGACTCAGGGACGATGTACGGTGGACTGTGATAATCCATCTGTACGGTCGCGCTTGTGTGGTGTTGTTGTGATTCGTTTTATGTTTTTGGATGACGATAACTGCCATACGTGTGATATCTACGAGATATGTGCCGCACGCCCCGTGTGGCATCGACACAGGCCCGCCTGCATGAGCACGTCCGGGCGCACCCCGCCAAAGCCCTCACGTTCGGTGTGCGGCGTGATCGCCCACGCGTCCGAACGAGCGACCCCGCGGCCCGCATGACCTCTCTCAGCCGTCGCCCCTCCCCGCTTGTGAGCCACACGCCCCGCGTGACAGTCACCACGCCTCCCCGCAGTTGTCATGGTCCGAACCCTCTTTCGTGTTCGTTTAACTGCAGTTGCCATGTTGCTGAACTACAGTTGCCATGTCTGACAACTACAGTTGTCATGGTTGCTCAACTGCAGTTGCCATCTTAGGTCAAGTGTCAGATGCCATTTTTGGACAACTGCAGCTGTTGCCATGTATGGTCTGGTCTACTACAGTTGCCATGATTAGAAAACTTTAGGAGTTGCCACCTACTAACACTAGGCAGTTGCCATGTAGGCGTGTGGACGACGGTGGTATCTTTAGGAGTTGTCACCTACTAACACTAGGCAGTTGCCATCTAGCACTACAGAAAAACATGGCAAAAATAACATGTTCGGATAAAGAAAGAGTTGCTATCTGCTTACAAGCACACTAGGGCAGTTGCCATGTATCCTTCAAAACACATGGCAACTGACAGCTTTGGGTGTGGGAGAGGAGACAGACGTGCGGGCGACGGTGGTATCTTTAGGAGTTGCCACCTACTAACAATAGGCAGTTGTCATGTAGCACTACAGAAAGACATGGCAAAAATAACATGTTCAGGTAAAGAGAGAGTTGACATCTGCTTACAAGCACACTAGGGCAGTTGTCATGTACCCTGCAAAACACATGGCAACTGACAGCTTTGGTGCGGGAGAGTGAGAAAATGGGCAGACGTGGGAGACGGTGAACAATAGTCGTGCGTGCCACGACGGCAGTTCCACCGCACGTCCGACTGGCAACCGGCCTCGTCCGAGCGAGAAACCGGCGTGCGGGCAAACTGCGAAACCTCCACAGACCGGCCTTGTCCTATGTGGCACACGAAAACTACCTCAGTATGTCAAGATTCGTGCAGATTTAACTGGATGGTGATCCAGGCGTGTGGGCGAGTTACAATATTACCATACGTGTGGGCATTAGTGTTTTTGTTGTTTTTTATGTGTAACACGTTTATTTTACATCCGTTGAGTATATGATTATTAGGAAGTATATGATGGACTAGGATTTAATCATGTCTTGTCTTGTATTTCAAGTTGGTCATTGTACTCCTCTATATATGCCCACTCAAGCAATACAACAAACTATTCCACCAATTCCTCTCAGCCTTACCTCAATCCTAAACCCTAGCCGCCGCCGCTTCCACACCAGCGCGCCACCCCCGGGGCGGCCGGCCTCCATGACCGCCGCCGCGCAGGGGGGGGGGGGTCGTCGCCTGTACCTAGGGTTTGTTCGCCGGTCAGGTTGACCGGCTGCCCTAGAGAGTATTTTTTTTTCCGATCCATTGATTGGAGTTTTTCTCTCTCGCCGATTGAGTGTTATTTTCCCTTGGTTTATTGATCTAAAATCGGTTTGCGTGGTACGCCGCTGTCTGTCATCTACGACATGCCTCTGCTCCATCATTGGGTTGACTCCATCGGTATCTTCATCGTCTCCACACATCACGATGTGCCGCGCCGCGCATGCGCTCCTCTACGGCGTGGCCGGTCGCGTGCTCGGTTTCATCCAGGCTAGCCTTCACGCACGTGCATGCCCATCAGCACATGTCAGGCAGCTTGATCCAGCGAAGATCATTGTCGAGCATGCATGTCCCTGCACCGATCGAGCAATGGGCTACAACTGCGTTATCCCTTCGGACCGCAGCATCACCACCTCATGGTTTTTTCCCAGCTGCATCGACCTGCTCACTGCCGCTGCGCCATCCCTTCGTGCCGTAGAGCCGTGGCCCGCGGTCCACCGTCGCCCCGAGGCCGTCCGCTTCAGGCCGTCTTCGAGGCTGCACCGACCCTCGCGCTGCCACTGCGTCGTCCCATCGGACCGTAGCGAGCGTGGCATGCGGCCCCCGTTATCGCCCGGTGGTTCTCACCGCGGCTGCATCGACCCGCGTGCTGCCGCTGCGTCGCCCCTTTGGACCATAGTGCCGCGGCCCGCGACCAACAGTCGCCCCAGAGGACGCCCGTTCTAGGCGTCTTCGTGGCTGCACCGACCCTCGCGTTGCCACTACATCGCCACATCGGGCCATAGCGAGAGTGGAACATGGTCTCCGCCGCTGCCCGAGGCTGTCTCGCGTTTGCACCGACTCGTGCTCCGTCGCTGTGCCACCTCTTCGGGCTCTAGTGCCGTGACACGCGGTCCCCACTGACGCCCTGAGGTCTACCTGCTGTCGCCCCGACCCGCCTGTTGCCGCCGCAGCCCCCGGTCCACTGCCGCCCCCGCGCGTCGACTTCCCTTGGTATGCGCCGCGCCGTCTCCCTTGGCGTGGGAACGCAACCGTCCATGCCGGTCTTCGTCACGCTGTCGGGTTCCTCGCCTATTTCGAGCATCATCGCCGCACTCCTAACCTAGCCGTCACCCGTCCACCTCCTTCATCTTCATCCAACACCAGCCCGTCGCCAGCGTCGCCGTCATCTTCCCCAACCACTTCGTCTAGTCCGATCACCGTTGGTGACATCGGCCCCACGCCGATTGGTGCCACAATCGTCGTCGGGTCTCCTTCTCTACTGGCCCCTCCGACTCCTCGAGATGGCGTACAACTCGTGCAGGTCCCTCATCTACGCATGTCCGGTGCTGGAAACACTGACGCGTGCCTTTGTCTACGACGTGTCCTCGGGTTTGGCAAACCCGGCGCGGCGCCTCATCAACACCGTCCTCTACCCGGCGCAACTACTTTGACACCACAGTGCCCATGACTAACTCGACGCCTCCTTGCGCCCGCGGCTCCACGGCGACATCCTCGACACCGGCTACCCCGACTCGACATCGACCACGACATTCTTTGCACGGCTACCTCGACCACGGCTACACCACCCTACCCTCTCGGTTACTTCGACAAACGGCGTAAAGGGCTACCGCCTTGCTTGAGCAACCTCGTCGGTTTCCACTCCAGCCATGACTTCCATGATGCATCGACCGTTACGACTGTGGGGGATGTCCGTCGGCTTGCCTTCGGATTCTTCTTCAGTCTCACTGCCTGCGTCGCTACCATTGTGACTACGGTGGGATGTTCAGTATATGATTATCAGGAAGTATAGGATAGACTAGGATTGGTTCTGCCTTGTCTTGTACCCGAACTTGGTCATTGTATTCTTATATATATATATATGCCCGCGAGGCTCAAGCAATATAACAAACTATTCCACCAATCCCTCTCTGTCCCTTCTAACAACATCTTTTCTTTGAAACTCATTTGCTGTACATTTAACCTCCTCAAAATCTCCCCTCGCCGTTGCTGATCCTGATGGCGGTGGTGGGCGGCGCAGTGTTTTCCCCCTCTCCCCTTTTTTCTAATACAGTACCGACGCAAATGCTGACATATACGCACATACACTCACCTCTATGAACACACACAAACCTACAGACACATATACCGAGCCGACACATCAACACGAGATTGACCATACCACCTTTGTAGTCGACAGGAACATCTCCTCCCACTGAACGCACATCATTGAAAGGCCTGAAATAAATTATGAAAAACATCAAAGACTAACTAAAACCCAAGTGAAGTACACTATGGGACGTACGAAAAGTACCCGCATAAAGATATATATGCTGGCCTGGTTGCGATTTGTGTAGCAGGGAGCAACAGTTAGAAGTAGACCCGATAAAAGATCAAAATCATGCATCTCTTTCTGAAATAAAACTTGCTATAGAAATAAGTTATTAGATGAAATTCTACTTTTCCCACATGATCAATTATCGTGGTTCTTGTTAGTAAATTACATGTGCATTTCCCAGTGAATTCAACATAGTTACATGGTACTGATAATAAGCAAATGCTAGTTAATTACTTAATTTTTTTTGAGTGGTGTAGTACCCCTACACAAATCAGTTCACAAAGGTTCTAGGGATACCTATGCCCTCAGGCGGATCTAAAAGCTAAACATAACAGCCAAGATTACTTCTAACTGAAGAATGAGCTAGCCTGCGAGCTTCAAAATTTGAGCTACGCTTCTCTAGGCAGAACTCAATGCCATCAAACTGATCACCCCTAGCCTTGATCTCCTGTATAATATGATAGTAGCTCAGCTTCGTCCTCATTCAGCGTGTTTATCACCCTGAGGCAGTCTGGAGCGATCTTAACTTTTTGAGTTAGCAGGTCGTTCGCCAGACAGATGGCCTACCTTATCGCTAGCGCCTCGACAATTTTAGGATCCACCAGTCCCAAAAAACCACTGAAGATGCTCCCATTGACTCACCATTACTTCTCCCAGCAACAGCTGCTACGGTTGATTTGTCATCCAGTTTACCCAGGGCTCCGTCCACATTGATCTTAGTCCATCCCGCTGGAGATGAAATCCACCGGTCCACATTGACCTCGACCTGTCTTGCACTTCCCTCGTGTTTCTTCAAATGATGTACCAGTCCAAGTTCCTAGGAAGTTTGTGACAAAACAATGAGTAGATAAGGGGCTTTGTAACAATTTTTCATGAATAGCCTTCCGCCGCGTGTGTCATATAGCCCGGTAACAAAAATATCTAC